TTTTCGGACTTTATCCATATAGCCAAATACCATTGGGATGTAAGGAAACTATATTGGTGCATTTAGTGTAGAAATTGTCTTGTTTCTGAATAGAGTGCTTTGGAGTTCTTACTAGAGTAATAAGTAGAACAGCAGTGCCATGAGAAAAACATTTCCTCAAGAAAATAGAGCTTTCAGGGACGCCACCATCACATCCACACATGTACCAGCGTCTGTGTCTACACAGTCTGCCTGGCCAGTGGTGACTATGAATTCAAACATTCGTTTCTTTTCTAAAGCATCCTCTCCACTGGGCACAAGATCCTATCTCCTTTCACCCACTCACCTATTAAAGAACATCACTGAGGCTATGTTCTCCTCCCTCCTGAAGGAGAATAAGGCCCTCCCTACTTAGCAAAGGAACATGTTTTTCTTTCTCGTATCCTAAAATGCAACAAAACAGAATAACAACAGCAACAAAAAACTTTCTACTGATTCCAACATCTTTGGTCGGCCATCACCTTCTTTTGTCTGATCCCCTTTATAGCAAAGCTTCCCAAATTGTTTCTATACTCAGTTCTGCAAACCTCCCTTCCTATTCTCCCTGAAGTTCACTCCATCAGGCTTTCACGCTCATCTCTCCAAATGAAGCTGCTCTAGTCAATGTCACCTTTGCTCTGGGCCAAGTTCATGGGCAGGTAACCAGAGCAGCTGCCCAGGGCCTGGAGCTTTGTTTAACGCTCTGATGTCCCCATCCTGAAATTCTTAGTTCTTGAACAAGGGGGCCCCAGCATGTCCAGTTTGCCCTGGGCCCCACACATGACCCAGCCCTGTCTGCTGGTGGCCTTCATGATGCTACAGCTGATAGCCAGTCCTCTGTGTTTGTTGTACTTGACCTCTCTTCCAAGGTCAATCACTCCCTCTTTCATGATGCATTTTTGTTTTCCTTGACTTCCAAGATAACCTTGGTTTTCCTTTAGCCTCACAGGCTCCTCCCTCTGTTTCTGTTGCTGACGTCTCCTGGCCCTGATTACAATCATTGGGCATCTTCTCTCCTCTAATTATTCACCCCCTACGTTATCTCAGCCAGTCTCATGATTACATGTTCTTTATGCAAATGCTTATCCAACTCCCAACTTCCGACTCAAGGACCGAACAGTCTGCTTGACCTTTCTATTTGGATCTTAAACGTAGCTTGTCCTAAACTTAATTTCTTTTCTTCCACCCTCCAGACCTGCTCCATCAACTCTGTTCTTCCAGCGACTCAGACCAAAAATCTTAGAATTCTTGACTCTCCTCTTCTGCTCACACTCTCTTGCGAGGCAATCCAGTTAATTCTCCTTCCAAAATAGTCTCTGGAATTTTAACTCCTGTTTTGCTTCTCACAACTCTTGCAGAGGTTACTCAGTTAGCTTCCAACCTGGTTTCCTGGCTTCTTTCCTTGCATGACTTATTCCGTAAATACCTCCCATGATTTACTCCAGGCAGAGAATAGTCCCATTAAAACACAAATTGAGTAATACTCCTCTGCTCAGAATACTAAAACTTGTCCCCACTTCACACAGAAGAAAAGCCACAATCCTCTAGGTGGCTCATAATGTCCTGTATGATCTGATTTCCTCCCAGCTCAGTGCTTTTGTCTCTGACTGAATTTCTAAATATTCCCCTCAGCTTACTCTGCCCCAGCCATGATGGCCTCCTGGCTCTTTCTCAATTTACCGGGTGTACTCTCTCTCCTAAGGGCCTTTGCACCAGCTCTTCACCACTCTGCCAGTCCCTCCTTTAAGTCTTGGCTCAAATGAGGGTTTTAACATTGTTTAGCCAATTAAATATGGTGTCCATCCACTCACCTCCATTTAATTCTGCTTTATTTTTTTTTCTCCAGAGCATTTGTCACCTTCTAATGTGAAATGTTATTTATATTTTAATGAAATATGTATTTGAATTTTAATATTTAAAATATTTTAATATTTGTTTACATTTTAATTAAACGTACATACACAATAAACATATTGTTTTGTGTCTCTCTCTCTCTTCCATAGAAACAGGAGTCCTGGTCTGTTTTCTTTCACTGATATGGTCCAAATGCCTGAAATAGTCCCTGGTACATAGTAAAGGCTCAATTAGTATCTGTTGAATGAATGCACGTAGCCTGGGTTGGTACTGCATGTCACCACCAACAAACAACAAAATAACAACAAGGATGATTTCACTAGAGGAAAAAAATCAAAGCAATTATAAAAAACAAAATGACAGAAAACCAACCATCATGATATCCTATCGAGCTTTGTAAACTCATTGGTGTATGTATGCTTTCCAGGACACATTGATTCCTTGGGTAATACATGCTATGTAGAAAGAAAGTATCTCATGAAACTGAAGCTCTGAAGAAAATACCTTTGCTTGCACGTTACATCAACTTTGAACACTGATTCATGCATAAACGTGCTGAAGGCAGACGTCCGTTTCACCTACGAGAAGACATATTGGTGGATTCTGAGTTCGTAAATATTCCTGGGAATTTGCTTACAGTTTAGTGCTTATACAATTTTAACTTGGAAATGTACCTTCTATTTAGGGAAATAATTTAAACAATTTCTATTCTATCTTCCAATAACCCTTCCTCTCCCAGTCTCTATTGCTTACTTGAAGAAAGAAAGTTGGTATTTGTTAATTGTTGTTACTAAGCAGGAAGTTGGGTGAATGGTTTGTTACTTCATGTAAAATTTTTTATATAAAAACAATTCATCCTTGAGCAACTGGGTTAGGGGTGCTGACCCTCTGTGTAGTTGAAAATCCATGCATAATTTATAGTGGGCCCAACATATCCATGATTCCTCCATATTTAATGTTCTTTATCTGCAGATTCAACCAACTGTGGATCATGTAGGACCGTAGCATTACTATTAAAAGATGTCGGCATATACGTGGACCCACGCAGTTGAAATCCTTGTTGTTCAAGGGTCACCTGGACTGCAACACTTATGCAAGGTGGCATTCAGAACTTACATCCTGAAGATACTGGAGAATGGTACTATAAAACTAACAAGATTTCATTATTAAGATTACTTATTTTTATTTGAAGAAATTTTTTAAATTATTCAAATGATCAACTACACAAAACGTGAAAAAGCCTGCCCCACCCCACCTACTGTTACCCTTCACTTTTCTCACCTTTTTGTTTTCACTCTACAGGATGACATGCAGAGAGAAGTAAGGACATCTAGGACATTACTGGACAGTAACTTGAGCAACTTTGAATATTTTTTGAGGTTTCTTTGCTCATACTAGTGTGTTAAAAAGAAAAACATTATACTTGGGTTACAAGGATGGAGAACAAAAGTACAAAGTAACTAGCAGTGTGCTCAAGAAATAAGGCTTTTTTTTTTTTTTCTCTTCTGGGCAAATGTTTTTCATCTTAAGCAAATCTGGCTGTGAAATAATCAGGCAGGTGCTGCTGCCACAGTGCTTTTGGGTTTCCTGGCAGAGCGGGTGATGCACTGGGACCCAAGACAAAACCCAGAGGAATCATGGCTAACCTCAGCCCTTTGCCCAATTTCCTCCCTACCAGTTACCAGAGTTCACCATTGTTCAAGCTCCAGGGGTCACACTCAGCCTGTTGAGGGGTGGAATTTATTCTGAACAAGTGTTTTGTTTGGCTTGCAGTATTTAAAAAATAAAAATAAAAAAGGCAGTCGCTGACATTGAAAATTAGATTTCATCTAAAATTCCCTTTGGCCAGTTTTTCTTGAAAACTGCAAATCTGGGAACATGAGGCAGCCTGGCAATATTCTTTGAGTTGAGGAAAGGCTACGTTTACACAGCCCTGCAGCTCCCAGACTCTCCCCCAGCTGACTTCACGCACTCATGTGGACCACTTGCCTGCTCCCTTTGTGCACTGAGTTTCTGACCCTGGTTCTACCCTCCCAGAGATGGGAGAGGAAAAGGTGTGGGAGGGATGTCAGAGTTACTCATTCGTCCCTTCCTTCGAACTATAGTAAAGATCTCATGAGCACACAGTTCTCCTTGAACGGGATTCTGACAGTCCGGGGTGAGAACAAAGAGTATTCAGCTTTATCTGCAAAGTTCTCCCCAAGAGAAGAATCAAATTCTGCATAAGGGAAGGAAATCATGTGAAGTGCTATTACTAAGCTCTTATCTGGACAGTGTTGACTCCAGCTGTGAAACAAGCTCATTACCCTTAGGATCAGCCCCTCAAAGTCTTTCGTCTCCTGTTTTCAAAACATGGGAGAAGAGAAAACACTTGAAAAAATAAGTAAAGGGTTTGTTAACTTGGGTTCACAAAATGAGAAGTAAAAATTGTGCAAGGAAGGTAGATACTAATTAATTTGAAATTTTCAGAACAAATCTTCTGAAGCCATGAGTTATTTACATGCTTTATGTCCTGTTCTTTTTGTGTTTTTTCTTCTGGTTAAAAACATTTTGGATGAGTCTTCTTTGCCTACTGGTTTTCTTCTGCCTCTTCCCTCTTTCCAAATCAACCTTCAGGAACCCTCTCTGATTAATTGCATTTTACACCAACAAACAAGGCATGTGATACATTAATATAAACTTCTTGAGATGATTTATCCGGATTTTCACATCATATTCATGTGTGCATACTGAACTGAATTCAAAATCAAACTTCAAAAGCAGGACTTTTTAACATATCGTAACATAATCAGTACCCAATACTCAATACTTGATACTCAATAAATGTTTTGAAATAAACACAATTTTTATTGTTAATCTTCCTAAAGAAACTATTATAATCTTATTTTTTTTTTACACAAAATCTATCAAGAAGAGATTGATTGTTTAAAGAAAGAAATAAAGCAAAGCAAAACAAAATGAGTTGAGAGAATCCAGGCTTTTTCAATCTTTGTCATATTTTTTGAGAACGGTGATTTGATTTCACTGTCTCAATTCATCAGAGCCTGCCTTTAAGTTACAAAGATCTGTCTTTCCTCCTGTTACATGGATGAAAGTGAATCCATATAAACCATACCAACACCATCATGTATAACTGGTGGTAAAACTTTATTATTCAAGTTTAGATGTAACAGACATCTTTGCTGCCTGAAGATTGTTTGCATAAGAAATACACCAAGAACATGTTTGTGAGTAGAAATGAACATGCACTATGAAAACAAAATTAAATAAAACAAACAAAAAAAAATTCCATGTGTTGTAAGAACAGAACTATTATAGCCAACATTCTAATATTCAAATCAGGACTACAAATTGAATTTTTTCTTAGCAACATGAAATCATTCCGTATGAAAGACATTTTCTGCTGGTGAATATTGCTGTAAGTGAATTTTACATTGGCATTTTGAGATGTTTCCCGCCCCGTCCCTCCCCCCCCGCCCCCAAATTATCCATGTTGTCAAATAGCCCACCCTAAGGAATCTGGCATTTCTTATTGGGATATTTGCCTTGTTGGTAGCCATTAAGAAACTATGGTTTTATCAGCCTTGTAATAGTTTTGCCTTTTCATAGCCAACGCTACAGGCTGTCTAGTTACGATATTTACAGCTCGTCTTTAATAAAAATGACCCCAACCTTTCCTGGCCCTTGGGAACTGAGAGTTTAAATAAGTCCCTTGGCCCTATAATAATACTTGGCACTCCCATGGCGCCTTTTCACCAAGGATCTCAAAGTGCTTTACAAACAAGTACTACATTACCATTATTATTATTATTAATAATAATATTATTATTAATATATTTTTTCCATTTTACAGGTGAGGAACCTGAGGCACAAAAAGAGAAAAAAAAAAGTGATTTGCTACAGGTCATATAATGAAAAGAGAACCGGGGGAGGGGGGTAAAAATCAGGATCCAGTTTTGGGACTCATGGGTCTTGAAGGACCATTTTCTCTGATGAAGGCTAAGCATTATTTCCATGTAAAGTTACTCTTGCTTTTTCTCTGGCGTAGGACGGAGTGAAGCTTATATTTTACGTTTCCTCTCAAGAGAACAACACACGAGCCTACATTATCCAGTTTCCACGTGTGGACCAATGCTGAAGTTCACATTTTCTTCATCCCTGACTTGACACACGTCAGCCCTAGCACCTTCCAGAGGTCCTAATTCTTGCAGACAACTGTGGATGTTTTCTAAACAACTGACCGCTATCAGCAATACGGGAGTCCACTGTCCGTGGCAACCACTGTCCATGGAAAACCAAAAGGAAGTGCTCTGCAAAGAAGTCATGCCTTCTGCCCTTGGCCAAGTCTTTCTTTGGGAAAATAACACAGCCCTTCAAAGTCCCGACGCATGTCTTTCCGTCCTCTTCTCCTTTACAGCTGCCTGCTGAGAGAGTGCCACCTAGAAGTACCTACCTTTGGTTAGCATGTTTAGTCTCATATTCAGGTTGGACTGCAGTTCCTCCGCTTTCTCCTGTGATCTAAGACAGTCAGCAAAGCTTTCGCCCACTTGCTCACCAAAGGTGCCTTGGGTGTTTCTGCCATGGCCCTCAACCCAAAGGCAGGAAGCTGTGAGCGCAAGTAAACTATAGGCGAAAGGCTGGCAAACGGCACAGAAGCTGACAGCCAGCTTCTTGACTTCAAGCTTCTGCCACGGGATGTCAGCTCTTCCCCTCCAGAACTCTGTTAACGTTCACCAACTCAACAGGCAGGCAGTCCAGAGGTCTCAAGACAGGTCACCTTGGGATGTTCTGCAGCCACGCAGCGGGAGGCTAGTCCTTATTTTAGTAGCAGGATTGATACTCTTCAATTCATTAAGAAAAACGTATATCCTCAGGCTATTTTCAAAAATATACACATTTAATATTTTTGGAGCTGTATTTGCATTGGATCATCAATGATTATGTGCACATGTGCAATCATCAACAATGTGCTACCACAGGCTTCAACAAAGAGCTGTTCAAGGTCATCCCTTTTGTCTCCTTCTCATTAATATTACCTTAGGAAAGAATCCCCATGCTTGTTTTCTAAAATCTACCCTCACTAAAAGAGAACAGCTTAGAAGAAAACATCACTCTCTTAAAAGCTGATTTTTTTTTTTAAAAAAAAAGAACATCTCAATATGTCATGTAGAAAGAATGGGTACAGTCTTTTTGTTTTGAACTATGGAGTTTAGGTGTTTGCCGAGAGAGCTCCATCCTTTTCTCATCTACTTAGAGTCGTGCAGTTCCTCTCAGTCCACAGTCCTCCGAGGTGGGCTGGCTCTTTATGATTTTTCTGTCCCAAACAACGATGTGAATATATGGGTGAGAGATGGAGAGAGAAAGAGTGAGAAGGAGCAGAATGAGAATGTGTGAGCGGGTCCTGGCCTAAAGTTTGATCCAAAGCCTGATTCAGAATACAGATGCGTACTCTGAAAAGACTTAAGAGTTTTTCGGGGGGGGAGGGTATAGCTCAGTGGTAGAGCACATGCTTAGCATGCATGAGGTCCTGGGTTTAACCCCCAGTACCTTCATTAAAAAAAAATAAATAAACAAACAAAACTAATTACCTTCCCTCCCCCCAAAACCAAAAAGGACTTACAGTTTTTAAATGGCATACAATTTTAGTTGGCATACAGTTTTTATCATTGGGAAAGCCTTTTCCAAGAGCGGAAATTCCTAAGTAGTTTTGAACCCCCCCTGCCCCCCAAAAAAGGTTAAGTCCCTAAATAGCTCATTTAAAATGACAGTTTAAGACAACATGATCCAGAACTCTAAAACCCAATTAAAAATAAAGATAACCACCAATCATTTTTATGACATATGTTGAGAGCTGGAACAAAGGCTCTCATAAGTCAAAAATTCAGGGGTATTTTAGTGTTGTGTTAAATTTTCATCTTTTTTAATAGTCCAACTTTTTCTCCATCAAAATATGAAAGTAAAATAAATGAAAATAAAATCATCAATAACAAAGGAATACAGAATAAGATCAATTGTGTCAATGCTATCTAAGAATATTCTACTGAAAGTAGACTGACCATAAATATTCCAAGAATAGTGATATGTATTTTCCAACGCTAACCATTACTACTTGTCTGTCTGAGAAAAAATAAAAAAATCAGATGAAAAAAAAAAGACATACATGCCCAAAATGAATAACCTACTTGTTTCTAACGCAGTGGAGAAACTTCTTATGGGGTATTTCTGCCCAAAAAAGTCATACCTAACATTGCCCTAGTTAACCAAACGCTGGGTATTTTCTGATTGGAGCAGTCCACATAGAATGTTGCTTGAGGATTGCCAAGGTGCACTTTGTTTCTAGTCCTTTTACTAAGAAAATTATTGTTTTGTTGTTTGGGAAATCTCCTCTTGTTTAGATCTTTAACTGCCACCTCTCCAATCTGCCTGTACACTTTGAGATGCGTTCATCAAAATTCCTAAGAAATATCAGGTGCATCACATCATGCGAATGTCGAAGCCCCTCATTCCACCTCTGTCTCTCAGTTCCTGTGAACATTAGAGCAACCTGACAGGTGAGATCAGAATAGGACCCTTTAAAAATGAAACTGAAGCAGAAGGCTTAGTCCTGACTTCTTTCTCTCTCTCTCTCCCTTTTTTTTTTCCCACATGAAAACGAAAATGCAAGAATGGAAATGACAACACAATATCAGAAAGACATGTTTCACTTCATTCACTACAACAGTCACAAACTGGTTGAACTCTACCTGCCATCCAACTTTAAGAAACGAAGACCTGGCACTGTGAAAAAGAAACGAAACCCAAACAAAACAAAACAATACAAAGCAACTGCGAATTCATGTAAAAATGAAGTGCAAATGCGACTACTGAATGCAATAAAAACATGAGTGCTGCGGATTCCAGCGGCACTTATCAAAATCATTTCCGAAATGTTTCATCTGAAACATAGACAAAGCAATAAAAAGAGGATATATGTTTATCATCTTAAGCATAACAATGTGAGTTAAGAGCTTAAAAATTAAAAAAAAAAAAAGTACTTGGAATGAATAGTGCTACCCTTTTTTTCCTAAGTAGGCATAAAAATATTTTCATTTCCTTCTTGTTTTCCATACCATTGTATCAAGAACTTTCATTTGTTTCATGTTACCGTTTACAACTTTAATGCACACACACACACACACACAAAGAGATATCTACTGCAATAGAAATAGTTGCTTCATTACCTTGTTTGCTACATTTGCAAATGTAAACAGCTAGGCAGAGCCAGAACTGACTCTAATGCATGATGGAATATCTTTGTTGCATACGTACACTGTAGAAAATAATTATTCAATATGTCAGGCACCATTATTTGAAATGTAATACATTAATATTTACTAGAAAAATAAGGTTTTTTTTTTCCTATTTGTTCTCCCAACTTCTTTAATGAAATAAGTTAATCTGACAGTGCATCCAGTAGCTTGTAATATCTTCTACATCTCCGTGGCAAAAAATAAACTACTGGTTGGGACGATATAATGCAAATTATTAAAGTCAGTCCTTGTACATACATCCTTGTAGCAAGCATTGAGGCTCGACTAACAGCACCTTTAACCAATTATTTAATGTTCAGTTATTTAGCCCTATTTCCCTGAGCAGTTATGCTGAGGCTTTCCCTTCATGGATAGTTTTACAAAGCCTTGAGTATTAAAAGTACTATGAAGAACATACTTCTAAGAATCCTATTTAATGCTACTTAACTAAACCTGTATAAATCTAATGAAGGGGTTGACTGGTACATATACCAACTGTCAGTCTGTGGTAACGTAACCTTAGACGCTGCCTGACCACAAAGTTTGGAAATTATATATGAACCAAAGGAAAATAAATAAATACAGCAGGTTACCTTGTGGAGAAATATCATGCGTTCTAAGCCAATGAAGCCCATGGTCTGAACTTTTGTATCCATCTAGTCTTTTGAACTGAGGGGATTCCTTTAGTTATGACGTGCCCAGTGAGATTAGTGACCGAGAGGAATTTAAAAAAAAACAAACCCAAACTGGTTCATCACATACAAGAAAGAAATACCTGGCTAACATACAATCACTACGTAAGCACTGAGGAGGTTGTTTTTAAAAATGCATATATATTTGGACAAAATGAGCCTAAATGGCAAACAAAAGGACTATGTTGGAAAGGAGTACTTGAACATCTAAAGGACAAAAATATCAGAGAGGGTGTGCATGTGTATGTACAGGCAGGGCTGGCCAAAATCCTTGCGTCACCATCTGTCATTTTTCCCTGTTGCTCTCTCACCAAGCCTAACCACAGCTCGTGTTTCTAGGTCTAAATCTGAAACACGGTCAATGAGAGCCGACTCATCGAAGAGGGCGCCATTTTCCTTTCACTGCCCTGGAGATGAGATTTCTCCTCGTCTGCCTTGGATTTCATGATACTTCTAAACTGAGGCAACAATTCATAGGTTTTTGAGCAGATGGGCCAACGGCCAGCCCAATACTGCTTTAATATCATAAGATGTAAACCCTTCCAAATTCTAGACAGCTTTGATCTCTCTCTTTACAAGCATAATAATTATAGTCTGGTGATACTTCTTACAGATGGTTTCCACAGTACACATATGCCAAGATGGTTTTGACTTACTAGGTTCTAAAACATGACTATTTACCATCTTCCATTTATTTTTCTCACTGACCATTTGTCTCATTTTTTTAATCTTGGTAACCTACTCATCAAAAGAAAGAATAATGAAAGAAGGGGATTTCATGTTGGATAAGGCAGGCTCTATGAAGTATTTTTTTTTAATAGGTCTTCATAAGACATTACAAGCTATTGAATTCCCATCAAGAAAACCTATTTCTATTTAATTGTGCTAAGTGCTAAGGTTTTACTCTTTAGGTTTTCCATTTTTTTCCGCTTGTGCATTGTTCCTATGCAGGCCCCTCTGGATATGAGTTGTGAAGTCATATTTGTCCGTGCAAAGATGCTGGCATATGCTGCACTGGAAAGGTCCACTGTCACCATGGCAACTCATATGCAAAGCATACATCACTTCATCCAGAAAGACAATGCCACAGTGCACACATTTTGTGGAAAGTTCGTCTTGAGTACTTCTATCCACTTTCTCTGTTTTTACTACATTCAAGGGACCTTCATTTTTTACACTGGATGGTGCCTTCGATTTCTCCTTGGAGGCACCGTTTGCAGTTGGCCCAGGTCTGGAATGCTTGATCGCCAAATCTAGAGGAATGTCATTGTCTGATCCGACAGCTGAAAAATGAGGAGGCAGGTTGAAGGTGGGATAAGGCACATAGTTTTGGCAAGGATTTGGTAGGCCAGGCACGTGACTCAAGTAGTGCGGATTGCCAGGAACGGAGAGCTTATATTTACTCCAGAACCGCAGCCAATCAGCTTCACTCTGGAAGTCATTATGTACAAAGGGAAGTCCAAACAGCGGGTACTGGTACTTTTCAATAGGGCTGCCTGGTGGCGAGTAGTTTGGGTGCTTCGCGGGTCTCATGTACTTTTCTATGGGACTGCCCCTCTCAGAACTCCCTTTCCCTTCAGACACGGAGGAACTGTTTCCCGGGTCTCCAGTACTTTCCTGAGGACTTTTAATCTGAATGTGCAAAGGCTGCATCCTTTTGTGAATATCCAGAGTTTGGCTGACCAGGACTGGCTGCTGAGCAGAATGGCTTTTAGTCAATGAACCCTGGGCTTCGTATTTACTCAGGCTGGGGAGCGGAATTTCCCTCTGGTGACCTTCAGTTAAATGGTCTTCTGACCTCCTCTCTAAGGGGCTCCCGTTGACTTGCTCCTCGCTGCCACCCCTCTGCTGTTTGTTGAGCTGCTCAGCCTGAAGTGCCTCTGGGTTAAGGCGCTTTCTTGTTCTTCTCCTAATAATCTGCTCACCGTTGTTTTGTTTAATGATGTTTAAAGGCCTGGGAGTCTGCAGAGAACACACACACACAATACATAAAAGGAAAACATTCAAAAATACATTAAAACGCATTACCAATTCTGCACAAATATAAACCATGCTGAAGTTCAAAGCAAAGATAGGCTTTACGTTACAGATTTACTAAATCTCCTCCTTTTGCCCTAAGCAGGATCAGAGGAAGTAACCACAGCACACCATTTCACTCTAATGAAATCAGGCCCATCTTTACAGGGAGGACTGAAAAACTTTAATCTACTTGAAAACAGCTTTTCCAAACTCAATAGATTTTGGAATTGCATCATTTAGTGATAAAACTGTGTAGCAAGTTACTTGAAGAAATGTGACTTTTCTGAAATACTTCTCAACTTTTGAGTCATGTGCTGGGATGTCAACACAGTAACTTGGGAGATGGGTTTTAGTGACGACTGTGGAAAAATTATACATTGCTGTTGACTGAGCTGTGTTCCCCACTTCCCCCGTTCATAGGTTGAAGTGCTAACTCCTCAGTGTGAGTGTGGCTGAAGAGGAGGTCTTTAGGAGGTAAATAAGGTTCAGTGAGGACACAGCATGAAGGCAGCCTTCCACAAGCCAGGAAGAGCACTCTCACCAGAACCCAACCATGCTGGCGCCCTAATCTCAGACTCCCGGCCTCTAGAACTGTGTGCTAATATATTTTTGTTGTTTCAGCCACTCAATTTATGGTATTTTGTTATGCCAACCCCAGCTAAGTAATACATTCTTCTAAATAATTGCAAGTGTGAATATATAATATTAAAGATCAGAGCAAAAATAATCCAAGACAAATTGACAGAATTTCAAGGGAAGCTATCAGGTAATCAAAGCTGTATCAGTGAGAGGTTTTTTGTTTTGTTTTTGTTTTTTAATCTCTCACTTTTACTTCTCTTTCTTTAATTATGTGAGTATTCACTATGGAAGGCTTTAGTTGTTAACAGGCGAAACATTTGTTTTCTGTTGAAAATCTAATTTATCTGTGGCCTCGGTTCAAATATACAATTTGTTACTCTACTCTGTACTTAAATCGAATGCTAACTTTCACTCAGCTTAAGTATGCTATTCAACTTCGACATTATATGATTGGTATTTATGTACATGTTCAACAGGTGTTTATATTCCATGACTAAAATCCGTAGATAAGACTGTAAAAAAGAAAAAAAATGTACTTGCAGTAAGAGCTCTAACTTTGATTTATACAATTGAAAGAATAAGCTTAATAAATGAATGCATATTTATAGATTAAAAATGCAGGAGAATCATTAAATGAGCTAAAATCTGATGCTAAAAGATTACTGAAACCAGGAAATAATTTCTACACAAAATATGAATATAAACAATACATCATTTGTGAATTGTACCTAGAAAGGATGAACCTGAATGCAAGAGTGTACTTTTTATCTATTAGACATAATATAAATCCTTTTGGAATGTTTCTGTTTTCACAAAGATATTTTGAAGGAGAAAAGATAACACACTTTTTATTGACAATCAAATTACTGGTTTCAGAAAAAAAATGCTATTTTCCCTGGGGTATGTTCATTTATTTTGTTCAGAATTTCAGGTATATAAAAAGCTCATATTCAGATTATAAAAATAGGCAGTATTTAATCTCTACCTTCTAAAGAAATCTGAAATTTGCATTCATACCTTTTTTAAACTTTCATAACTTTTGTGGCAGCCTTTGATGTGAAATGTGAGCATAACCTTTATGTATTTAAATTTATGACTTAAAAAAACCCTCAAAATTGAAAACATCTCCTCTCTGGAGAGATGAACATTAAAATAACTGTAAAAAAAGAGTTTAGTTTGTATCACAGTTGTTAAATTATCGTAACCTGGAAGAGCAGTAGTTTAGTTATTTCTTGGCCTTTGATTGGCCAGAGTTCAATTAAAACCGTTGTCAGTACTTATTAAACGGAAGCTTATTGCTGTGCTTAAATGGTGAAGGTAAAAAAGTTAAGGTGATGTTGATGGTGGTGGTGGGTGGGTGGGAATCCTCTCAGCTACATGCTAATAACTAAGGTTTTTACATTTTACCACCAATTAGTATTGTTAGCAGCCTGTATTTTTAAAAAGAGTGCTTCCAATGGTCCGTTTATGAGGACATTTTGTCTAAAATTGTATTCCCTGTAGCCATAATCTATTCATTGGCTTGTGCTTAGAGCGGCGGTAAAATGCCAAGCAAAATGAAAAAAGATGGAGGGAAATAGAGTTCTGCTTACTCAATGGGGGATTCCGATTTTTAAAGGCAGCTCTTGTCAACAGATGAACTTTCTCAACTTAAAAAAATATTCTTCAGGAAGTCAAATGCATTTAAAGATGGGTGATGTGCAAGTTTACATCTTATGATAGGATTCTAACTAAAATTTGGTTAGATATAACTGGAGAGCCACCGAAAGAAGCCAGTTAGATATCTTAAAACCCAAACACTTATGCACCTTACTCCACTCTGCTGGGTGCTTTCAAGCACTCGGATACCTCTGACTGAAAGCACTGGAGAGAGTCACCTGGCATCCTGGGTCCTAGCTTAGAACCACTCTCCTGAATGTGCCCAACTTCCAGTCCCCAAAGCAGCCAAGATGACCCTTGCAAATTCCAAAGACAAACTGGAAAATAAGCAATTTTTCCCTGTCCTATGTTTTACACCGAACGTGGGAGAGTACACTTTAAAAAAACACACACACACACATACACACAAAACTTTTTAATATACTTTTGAACTTTTAAAGTTTCTCCTTTCTACCTAGGTTAATTTCACTGAATTCTGATAACCACTAGTTCAACTCTCTGTTATGGGAAGTTCCCAGAAATCAATCATTTTCCCCTTCTATATCAAAAGGAGCATAATGCATTACTAATGATCTCAAATGTTTCCCCCCATAACATCTAAGGCTGGTCCACCATAAATCACATGTGCACTCAAAGCGCCTGGATTAAACTCCGCAGGGGCAGGCGCTGCAAGCCAGGGAATGGTACTTATCACGCCACAGACCAGGCTGCTTTATAAAGCTTTTCCTGAAACAGTCTAACAAGGTCTTACCGAGTGAAGCTTCTGGTAGAGGCCACACGCGTTGCATACATATCCGCCATTTGCATTCTTTCGCCAGAGAGAGGTCTTTGTGGTCAAGCAATTGGCACAAAAAACACCCGAGCCTCTGCGCCTCTGAAATGGGAAAAAAAACACAAGGTCAGAGGTGAGTCACATGATCGGTGGAGTTAGACCAAATCAGCCCAGGAATTTTGTCTTTAGACTAGCAACAATGACAGTATAAAACCACACTGCCCATAATGAGGTCAGGTTCAATTGTGTTTAATAGGCACCACTGATTTTCATTATAATTAACCTTACAGTGATGGATGAGGTGTGTTCAGCACCAAAGGCTTTTCACAGAAACAGCTTTAACTTTTTGAACTTTGGGTTTTGTGCCTTTAATGATGGCTCCTAAATGCCGAACCCTAAAACATACCTTTTAAAAGTGTCAAAACAAAAGTCAAAAGACAGAGCCAGGCAATATGTTTAATATACTTTGGAAGAGGAGGGTACCTGTGTTTTAAAATACAGTCCAGCTTGGAATAAATGCAGCATGTAAACCATTTAGAGTTAAACCTGCTGTGTGTCTTTTTGGATGTCACTCATGTAACGTAAGAGACTACAAGACACTCAGTTCTAATTTTTGGTTTGCCACTGTGAAATCTGAAAGAGCACACCCTCCGTCTCCCAAAGCTGAGAGGCACAGTGGGAACTTCTGCCAACCAGAAGTACAGTGTTATGAACGAGACTGCATACGAGAGGTCCTTGTCAGCCAGACAACACAGCCCCATCGATGGCTATTTATTTATTTTATTTGACTCAGACTTGAAGATCGCAAGTGTTTCTGAACACAAATTGATTTTAGTGGGCTGAATTCTGTAATCACCAGATTCAAAAATAACTCAAGAATATTTAGAAGTCGATCATTAGCACTGCTTGTTCCACTTCTGCTATCAAGTAATGATTCCATTAAACTTCTCATTGAAACAAAAGTCCGGCTGTGTCTGTAGGCGCAAAGACTAACAGGCAGGAAATGGAAGTCTCTCGCTGCAACAGAAAAAAAAAAAAAAAAAAAAGGCCAGCCCGAGCTGCAACTCTGCTCTCCTTTCGCTTCCTAGGAAGCAAAGCCTTTCATGACAAAATATGCGTGTGAGATAAGGAGTGGAAAAAGTCTTGCTGGAACCCAATTTTGTTATAAATTTAAAATTACAAACACTATAAGTCAAAATTTCAGGGATTCATAAAATTTGGGCAATTTATTTAACTTGAGTCCATACTGTAGACGAGTGGTATCTCTGCCAAGAAAATACAATGGTTATAATTGTACTCTGATACATTTCAAATGGAAAGCTTTCTGCAGACATAATTTTGGCTTCAAGACTGGAACACTTTCTTGGCATTGAAAGGGCATTTGATTCATCGGGTGTTTCACAATGTATCACTAAAAAGACCTGGTGAGCAGCCAGTTCCCTATAGGGTAATTTTTCCATCCAGACGCAACTGCTATCAGAGGCCCTCGTCAGCTAAACTAATTATGATCTTGCAATTGCTGATGCCTGCGCGCTCTAACATTCGACATCCTCCATTAATCATCAATACAAGGAAAATGAATGAAACGTAAAGAAATGAGGGCTGGTAAGCTGCACAGCCATAAAAATCTGAAATGAGAGCAATAATTTAACAAGATCGGGGGAATGTTTTTAGTGAGCACAAAGTCAGGCTAACAATTGCCCTTTTCAACCAAGAACACAATTTCATTAGTGTAGCAGGTTGGGCTACTTTGAGGTGATGTAATAAAAGCTAGATTTTTCACAAAGATAATCTTTGGTTCCCCCTCCCCCCAAAGCAGGACCAGGAACGTGTCATACATTTCTCAGTCTCCGTAAGAGCGACACCAAATGCTGGGTGTCGGTCCTCAAAGTCCAAATCGGGACCCGCTGCATAAGTCCAGACAGCTGTTTCCCTCAAATCAACGAACTATTAGAGGGTGTGTTTATCAAACACTCTGGGGCCCCCTTTATCCGAGGTGAGTCGGGGAGCCTAGTTTGGGTATAATTGTGAAACTTCCCTGGGGCCATGCTGTCTTTTTCCTCCATCTAAATAACACGTTTGGCAAATAAACACCAATTTGATCCACATAAAGGCAATGGAAATGTCCATTTGGAAACTAACCCACATATATGGCTGAGGCTCAAATCTGGATGTGTAACCATTCACTCCAGCCTGCTTTTCTTTCCTTACGCCCTGGGTGCTTGACACAGCACGCCAAAGTGGGTGTAATCCTGGTTTCAGAGAATGCTTCAATCCTTGCACAATTTTGTGCTTAATTCTCTTGCAAAGAAAATGCCCTTCATTAGTTAGAGGGAAAATCCTGAAATTACAGCACTGGTTTCCACAGGCATATCTTGCTTTAAGCAGCATTTAGGCTCCCACAAAGGCTGGTATCTTTTAGGTAAATCATACCTTATTTTAAAAATACCAGGAGCACTTTGGATTCCCTTATCCAGAGTCAGTATGGCACGGGGGTTAATAATCAGATTTAGGAGTCAGACAACTTGTATTCAAAACACATCTCTGCCTTTTGCTTGGTATAACTTTGGGCGAGTTACTTAACCTGGCAAAGCTTAAATTTCCTCATCTTTAAAGTGTAAGCTGCCGTGAGTATTAACGTGGCAAATGGATGCGATTAGAACAATGCCAGGGATGTAGTAAACAGCCAAAATAGCTATCCATCAAGGGGATTCAACTGTATGTCTTTTGTAAGAGAAAAATATTTTGTCAGTTTCATTTCTTATCTCCTTAATCTACTTATTGTACATTTTAGATCTTCTCAAAGCATATAGTTGGATATTATCAAATGCACTTCATTTGTGTCAATCTTATCAAATATGAGAATGGAAAGTTGAGTCAGAGTGAAATATCTAGGTGTTCACACCTAGAATTCAATAGAAGCGTGCTTGTGTGGGGGTGGAGAGGGGGAGGAAGGTGAGAAATATTTCACACATTGCGTTCCTTCCCATCTAAACAAATTTATCACTTTGGTAAGCACTGTAGAACTTTATGTTGGGGGCACTAGGGATTTCTGGAAGCAGCAGAGAAGGTGGGAGAATGCCCTTAGCTGTGTGACTGCAGAATCGTGGACTGTACCACATCTTTCTAAACCACGACACGGATGACAGCCTGACCTCAGGGGGAGTCACACCTTGTGTATAACGTAGCCTGGTTGGACAGAGTAAGGCATTTCTTTTCAAGTCACCAACATCCTTAGCTCAATCAAGTGCAGAGAAGTGGTCTGTTGTCAAAGAAGGCATAGTAAAAATCTCTCCTACCCCATTTTTCAAAAAAAGGCTAGTTAAACAGAAAGAAAGGCACTAAAGATCTGATTTCATTTGTAGACCATCAGGCATGATCAAGTTTTAAAATATTTTGTCATTCTCCTTGATACTATGTTTGTTAAAGACAGGAAGCATGTCTCCTAACAGTCATCAAATATTCTAATAAGCACCTAGGACAGTGCTTTCTATCTTGAGCAGCTGAGCATTAATGAAATTGAAAATGATCTCCCCTGCTATTATTTCTGTCATTAACAGTCACTTCTGTTTTTGAAAAGAAAGTTTTTAAAAAGGATTCCTTTGAAATGTCTCCCATTTGGATTGACAAATTTATCTTCAGTTGGACAGAGATGGCTAATGGTGATGTAGAAGATAAAATCAAGAGAATGAATTTTCCAGTCCTACATTCCACACTGATTTTTGAGAAGCAGCTGAAGCCATGTACTTGCTAGGTCCTGAAGGTTCAAGGTCAGGTAGAATGAAGCTCCAGCTCTCCTGCAGAGACATCATTAGAGTCATGCATTGTGGATGGTTCTACACGTGTGTGTGCATGTTTAAATAATAAGATTGTCTCTCCTTTCCCTACAAGCTGTGTTTAAGAGTTAATAATAATTTGTATCTCCATGACTTTGTGCAGGAGAGAGGAGAACTGAGTGATAAGGATAAGGACACTTCTAGGAGAAGACATGACAGGAATAAACAGCTAGTGGATAATAACACTGATGGCACGCCCGAGAGGCATACTGGGCATGGTTCTTACTCTCCTTTCAGGCTGCAGGAAAGCTGCACTCTTATAGAGCCAAAGCCATACACAGTCATAGCACCCCCCACCCCTGGCCTTCTCTAAGTGCACTCTCTACTTCTATGTGGTTTTCCATGGAGGGCAAGAGTGAAGAAAGGTCCGCCCCAAATCCCAGATCTACATGAAAGTCACCTCCAATGCAAATTTCTACAGAGGAAATCCTGGAATCAACAATTCAAGGAACTGACTGCTTTTAACTTCAAGTTTTAACAGTTTGCCCACTAACTTTTAGGTCACAGTTGTGTGGCTGCCATGTTACTTCTGTTGGCTGGTAATTTCCTGTATGAAAAAGAAAGGAGGGTGGTAGGAACAGTTAACTGCAAGGAATTCTGAGGCCAGCCCAATGATGGGCCTAGCAAAAGCTTTTCAATAACTGAGTATTGTCTGGACCACTTGTCTCCTTTCCCCATTTCAAATGTACTATGACCGCCATATTGATTTTCACAACAACAATTTAGGCGACGAATTGAGACAATCATCCACACCAAGATTTGAAACAGACAGTGACACACTCATCTTTTAATAGAAATACTCTTTCAATCCAATAGAATTTTTCCTTTTCCTCCTGTACAGTGCACCAAGAAATATAAGAACTAAATAACCAACTGAAAAAAACAACAAAAAACAAAACTTTAGCCGTTAGGTTCACAGCTAACCACTGTAGGGTATCACTATCATTACATTTTTCCCAAAGCTTCTGATTCAAGTTTGGTTTTAGGGGGTTTAAATCCTCAGTTGGTTATAGATCCCTTTGCGTTGAGCCCTGACACATGTGCTGGTAAACCCAGATGTTACTTTAGAAAAGAAGAAGGATAAAAAACAAGTTTTAAATTGGTTTGGCTGTTTGTATTGCTTATTTTATTTTATTATTTGAAGATCTGCCAAAAACAAACATTGTAAGGTTTTCAAATATCATTATTAACACAAAACGTACATGGAGTTCATTTGATTAATAAAACGTAAATATGACTGAATTATTCATTCAAATGGCTTAACAT